CCGAACAAATTAGCTCTGACCACTTTACTCAGAAATCAAACACAAAATTAAGAGTGGGAAAGGACGAGACTAATTTATTCAGCATTCGGCCGTTGTTAACAGTGGGGATCAAGAATCTCAGCCAATATTTCTAAATTCCTGATAAGAGATTCCAGTATCTACAGACAGTGATACAGTGTGAGGGCTGGGAAGTGCAGGCATAGCTAATCAGACTTGCTCAAACCATCGTAACAAACATGGTTTGTTAGAAGAAAGAAGAAAACTTTCTCTTCTCATTTTCCCTTTTCCATCTTGCCTCAGATGTGCAGATGAGTTTCTCAGTATACGTGATGCATGGTGACTCAATGAGAAGTTGTCATTAATATATTTCTTGAGGCAGTAAACTTCTTTCTTAAAACAAAACAAAACAAACAAACAATAAACAATGTTTGCTCCTGCTTTGGAAGGCAGCTTGTTCGCATCCTGAAATAAATGTTTCCACTTAGAGAAACAATCTCCTGAAGAGAATATTTATCTTCGTAGCATCTCTGTTCCTGGAATACAAGGTGATTACAAATTAATACTAAAAATTGGAGACAGTTGGAAGATTTTTTTCTAGGGATATTAAACAACACATTATGACAATCACAATTAAAATATTCTGAATATCACATGTTTTATAACAGTCTCTTATAAATAACTAGTGTGACTGCATGCGTATTTGAGGAAGAACTGTATTCAACTTTTTTCTGTTTTTTTTATTTTAAGTAGAAGCAAGCTTCATTTACATGTCAATCTCAATTCCCTCTCCCCTCATCCTCTGCCCCCCACTGGCCCCCATCCCATCCCCTTTCTGTTCCCCAGGGAGGAGTAGATCTTCCATGAGGGGTCATCAAAATCTGTCATATCCTTAGGAGTAGGGCCTAGGCCCTCCCCCATGCGTCTAGCCTGAGAGAGTATCCCTTTATGTGGAATTGGCTCCTAAAGTCCTTTCATGTACTAGGGATACTGATCCACTACCACAGTCCCCATAGATTGCCCAGACCTCCAAACTGATTTCCTCAGTCAGAGAGTATGGACCAATCTCACGCTAATTTCCCAACTATCAGTGTGGGGTCCATGAACAACACCTTGATCATGTTGGCTGTTTCTGTGGGTTTCTCCAGCCTTGTCTTGACCCCTTTGCTCATCATTCCTCCCTTTCTGCAACTGGGTTCCAGGGTTCAGCTCAGTGTTTAGCTGTGGGTGTCTGCTTCTGCTTCCATCAGCTACTGGATTAAGGCTCTAGGATGGCATATAAAGTAGACATCAATCTCATTATCGGATAAGGGCATTTAAGGTAACCTCTTGACTATTGCTTAGATTGTTAGTTGGGGTCAACTTTGTAGATATTCAGAAATTTCCCTAGTGCCGAATTTCTCTTAAAACCTATACTGGCTCCCTCTATTATGGTATCTCTTTTCTTGCTCTCCTCTATTCTTCTTCCTCTGACTGGATTTTTCTGCTCTCCCTTGTAGCTTAGCCATTAAATGCTAGGCTCACAAACAAAATATATCCAACTTTAATAAGGGAAAAATGAGATGAATGAAAAATAAAAGAATTGTCATCAATTTCAAAATTTTTAATATAGGATATTTTCATATGTTTAAAAATCCAGAAAAAAAGCATATAGTGTGTAATAGTATATGTTCTCCCTATATGTGGATGGTAGCTTTGAATTGCAGTATGCATAAAAGCCTAGAGGTATTGATGTGATTTCAAGATAAGGAGAAAGCAAAGCATGTGGTTTGAAGATAGAAATTATAATAACGAAACAGGGAGAGTTAGATGGAGGGAGTTGAAAGGGTAGCACAGAGGAGTAAGACAGGAGAGCTACTTAAGAATAAAGACCCTTAAAATGTCTTTCAACCTAAAAGCTTCAAAAATATGTAAAGAGCAGTCAACTGAAATTACCCTGTAGCAAAGTAGCAATGCTTCTACCAAGTAATACATGTTTTCTCTAGCAACAAGCCCAATGAGTGGTATAGATAACCCTACTTAGACATGTTGGTCAGTTCAAATGGTTGAAAACGTTCATGAGTTATCTACAAGGTAAAGGTGACAAAACAAACAGTCATTTATAAATATCATTTCCTTTTAAAGAATAATCATCAGTTTGATATTGTCCTGTGATAATGGCATTATTTTTAAAAGACTTTAATGAGTAAAGTTTAATTATCATAATGTTTCAGACATATTAATGAAACATTTTTGTATTATGTCAAAATTTCTATAGTTATAAGTTATATGAAAATTTCATATGTATTTATCAAAATTTATGCCATAGCACTGATATTCAAATACAAATAAGATGTACTGAACTAGGGTTTTGCTTGTTAAAATATGTTTAATTTATATTTTTTAAATCCTGGAATCCTAATTGACAGTGTCAGGCACTTTGTAGAATACCGCCTATCCTAAAGATTATTCATGACTTTAAAATGCATAAGTTAATACAAAAATACAGAAATAATATTTAAAATGTCATCTATAAAAATTTTCTGATCTTACTTCCTTCAGATTATGCCATATTTAGGTAATTAATTAAAGAACACTGACTATAAAAACACCCTCTTAGGGAAAATAAGAGTTGATATTTAGGTAGTGGTATAATATGTACAAATGTATACATTTAAAATTTTCTAAACTCTATTAAGCAAATAATTCAAAGATTTTCAGTATTCTCCCAAAAGTACGCAGCAATTAAAAAGGCTGCATTGGAAAAAAAGTTTGCATATAAGAAAGTCATTGAAATGAGGTGAAAAAAAGTATTTGCAACATCTCCTGGACCCAGAATCAATAAGCAATGGGAAGTGTGGCTTTATTATATGCTGTTTCTGACAAACAGAAGCAGTCTATAGAAAGAGACATTGGCTGACTAAACAAATTGCAGAGGAAATAACCACAGTTTGCATTTAAGTAGTTGGTGCTTTGTTAATGCAGTTAAGTTTATCACATTTGTGTGTTATTAAGTAGCTTCAAATGGGACTACAAAGCACTTTGTTGTCACTTGATGGGGTTCCCTAGAGATGTTCAATTGCTGCAAAACAATCTGTCTATGTAACATTGTTTGGTAAATTTCCACTTATTACAATGAAAGAAATAAGAGAGATTTTGGAGTGTGCTTAAAAAGAAAGTGATTATGGTGTAGGTGATTTCTGTAAGAAGACAATAAAAATGACCCAATACATAATTGTTACAGTTTATTTTGCCATTGATTATTGGGGGATTAAAACTGAATTAATATAAAAAGTCTATGCATCCCCAAACCATTTATCAGAGACACAATATTAATTTTGAGTACCAATAGCAATTTTAAATCATTTAATTTGAAAAGTATAGATTGATTGTTTGGAATTGTTACTTAAAAGCATTATTTTCATCACTTAACAATGATAGCAAAGCAATGGAAAGGTTATGGAAATTTCTGTGCAAAGTTGAGCATAATTAAAATGCTTCAAACCAGTTTGGGAGACAAGCTAAATGCCGTCTTTCATTTTTGAAAATTCATTTTTCATTTCAAAATTCATAAAAATTCATTTTATGTTTCCTTGAGACTATTTCCTCATGCAGATCAGACTGATCTCAATTCATATTATCTTGCCTCTACCTTCCTAGATGATCAAATTATAGGTATAAACCTTCATATACACAGAAATGTTTTATGCTACTGAGAATTGAATCTCCAAATTTCTAAACAATTTCTCTACCATTCATCTCAGATACTTCTTGCTTTAAAGATTCACAGAGTAATTTATTAAATGATGAAATGCTTCATAATTACACATCTTGATGTGTTTTTCTAGGAACAGTGTGCTGGTTCATCCAAACCTTGTATGCAGAATTCCAACTTTATTCAGGCATATTCTTCAAGATTGCCATGGGAGAAATCTTACTTATTCCCTTTTCTCTTCCTAGTACTAGTAAAGGAATACCCAGTTTTATATGTAAAAACTAATGAGAAAATGAATGTTTACTAGTCAGGACTCACTAATCAATACATCTTGGCAATACTAATAATAACATCTCAACTGATACACTTAATATAAAAGTGTGTATTGAACTCTGTTTATGAATTTATATGCACACAATTAAAGTACATTAAGTAAGCAAGAAGAAAAGTTACTGGTAACTAGCCTAATTATTGTTGCTTATTAAAATGGAAAGCATAGAGTTTAGGAAAGTCCTCCTCCCAGAATAGATGAGTTATTAAAGTCAAGACATGGGCATGTCTGCTCCTGTGTTCAGAGGTGTAATTAGTGGAGAAGCAGCCACTAGCCCCCTAGCTCCTGGAGTATAGTCCTTTGCAATATCATTATTTTTGGAGTGTTCTACTACCCTATTTGGACCATTTTTCTGAGTGTGAATAAACACAGAAAGGGGGAATGAATTGGAGTGGGAAATTTTGGGGAATAACCCAGGGACCAATGATTTCAGAACTGCTTCTGTGGACATTCTCTTGAATTAATGCTATGTTATTTTGTTCTTTTATGAATTATTGGAATTCCAGCTTACAATACTCCAGGGCTTAGTTTGAAAATCATAATGCAGTCATAATTATATTAGGAAAAACCAACATAAGGAATCAGGTTTTGTATGACTCCTTTAGAAGGCTATATGGAGAAAAATTAATACTGATGCATCTTTAATTTTAAACTTCTAAGTTATTATGAAAGTGAAAGGGAGAAACACTTTCAGAAGCAGAATAGAGAAGAAATTCAAACAGTATGTTTCAGTATAAAATAGCAGAAAAATTCTGCAAGAAAAGGAGCTTACAATTTGCCTTATTCACATAAAATTCAATGTGTGGTCTATCTGTTCAGGGAAAATATAAGGAACTTAATATACAGTGGGTATTTTTATATTATTTGAAATAAATCATTTAGTACATGGTATGATTTTTGAGGCTTAAAATAACTCAGTGATTTGACCATTATTGAGTTCATTTTTATATGAGGAATCTGATATATTTACAGGTGAAGTCAACTGCCCAGTTCCTGGAAGAATGTTTGGAAAATTCAGGATGACTCTAGTGGCCTCTTGTACAGTCATTATTACATAATAGTTCTGAAACACTTGGCTACCTCTTGGACAGTGAGATTGCTAGCAAGATAGAAACCGTGATATAGTTACCTCTAATTGTACAGCACCACCAGTACAATAATATGCTGCTTACAATTTTCTTACAAAGTAAGTTAACAGGCTGACCCAAAGAGAAAAAGAGCCAACTTTTCCTAAATAAAGCATTTTCATTCAACTTTTTGTATTGTAGACTCATGGCTCAAAGGTTAAGAGTCCCAGAGGACCCTGGTTCAATTAGCAGCATCCATATGCAACTCACAACTGTCTATATCTCCAGTTACAGGGAATCTGATACCTTCCCACAAAATACATGCAAGTGAGACACCAATGCAGGTAAGAAATTAAAAGAAATCATAAAAAAATAAATTATGGGCTGAGCATTTACATATATCAATTGTTTATAGAACATATATTCAACACAACAATGAAATATTCAATGATGTATTCAGGGACAGCATTAAGAAGCCTTGTGTACTGATTTTCATTCCTAGGTAAGAGGGAACAGAAATAAAAGATTGACGCCTTACCAAGGCAAGTGTGCATTTTTGGGGGAGAGGCAAAAAAATATTTTTATTTGCAATTTACACATGATTTTGTAAGACAAAGTAAAAGTTTATTAATATTTGTGTGTTTTGTTGTGGATTTTATTTATTTATTGGCATACAGGATCTCAGTTCATATGTCAGAATGATTTCAATCTAACTATGTACCTAAGATGGGCTTCAGAGTCACAGTACTGTCCCTACTCTAGCCCATCAATCTCCAGGTTTGCAGATGTGAACTGTTTCTCCTGGCAAGGATTTTGTAAAGTTATGAAGAAAACCATTTTTCAAGGTATCAGAAAATGTACCTTGTTACGATAAATCTTTCCGCCAAAATCCACCTGAGCCCTACCTCCACGTGGATGGTTTCTGCCAGCCACCTGAGTTCTGCCTGCCGAGTTAGAGACCCAATTAATGCACAGAGACTTCTATTATGTACAAATGCTGCTTGGCCAATGACTAGGATTCTCATCTGTTAGCTCAGTCTTAATTATTATAAATCTATATATTTTATAAGACTTATTTTATCAGACACCTTCCATTGGTGTCCCCCTTGCTGGTGGATCACATCCTGCCACTGGAGGAAGGGCAGAGGGGGAAAGGGGCCACTTCCTGCTTATCCTTCCTTAAATATGAGTCTCCTTGCTATGTCACTTCCTGCCTGGATCACCACTTCTCTACTAGATTTCCCTGAATCCTCTTTGACTCCTAGTCCCGTCTAACTTGCTGCCTCATTGGTGAAACTGTACTTTATTTATCATCCAGTAAGACAAACACATACACAGAAGCACTTCCCCCATCAATACCTGTAGAGGTCTTGATGAAATTTCTGGACCGAAAAGAGGAAAGATGAAGGGAAACTAATAGGAATGGTTAAGGATAAAAGAGTTGATGCACAGGTAATAATACAGCTATCAAAATATTTATAGAGACACATATCTAGATTGTGCAAAGAGCAAAAGAAGTTGGAACACTCAGTGCTAAAGAGAATGTCTCATCAAGCCACTTCTCTCAGTGCGGGGTGATTTTTCAGAAGATGTGAAGAAAGAGTCCAGGTGTCTGAGGGTATGGACAACAGTCTAGAAACTAAATCACCACAATGAAAGCTCATGTGAACTTACAGAGAATGAGCAACATATACAGATCTGTGGTGTTTAGGATAGAGGTGATCTCAGAGCTGAGAGGAGAATTGGATACATGCCCCCTCCCAATCCAGAAGCAATGTCCAATTGATAAACATTCACAAATGAAAAGTTAGGTTTATTAAATAGTGTTTCCAGATGCATATAAACCACTCTTAAGGCCAGGCCACATTCCCAGCAGGACGTATCCAACATAAAATGAATTCAATGTCATCTTTGAAATTGATTCATCTCTTGAAGGCTTTTCAGGGGTTACAGTTTTTCTCTTTTTATAACCTTCCATATTATTTCCATATATTATCTCCTGTGTGTGCTGTCATGCATGTCACTGCATCTATAGGCATTTCTAGACTTTTTTCCTTTTTCTTCTGTTTCTTTGTTATGTCCTATTCTGGTTTGTTTGTTTTTTTAAGTTACTCCTCCTACTCCTCTTCCTACTACTACTATTACTACTATTTGCTATTAGATGGCTAGTTGTATTATAAAGAAAAAGAGAAAGAAATGGTAGGGATTTGTGTTTCATTGGATAGAAAATGATCTGGGAAAAATTGGGGGAGGTAAAGACATAATCAGAATGTAGTGCATGAAAACAAAATCTGTTTTCATTGAAAAGAAAATGGGCAAAAAGGGTGTCCATACAGTGAGATAGTTCAGCATTTAAGGGTACATTTGCTCACCTAGGGGACCAAAGTTCCTTTCCAAGAATCCACATAGCTAGGCACATCACCACCTGACTACAACTCTGGGAATTGTATGCCCTTTCCTATCCATTGGATAAATATACATTTTCATATCCATAGCCACAAAGAAACATAGACACACAAGCATACCCAATTTTAAAAGACATTATGAAAATATTTTTCAACATTATTTCTTTTCACTGGGATTTCATTCTCTGTTGGGCATGTATTACTGTACTTGGTGTTTCCATGGTTTGAATACACAGCAGGATTATGTTGTAGAAGACCAGTTTTTCATGTATGAGTGGTTAATTATTTATGAGTGTTTATCAATTGGAGATGGCTTCAGGCTTAGGGATGGGGGCATATAACCACTTCTCAGCAGTGGGACCCCAACTAGCCCAGACTCATCCCTGAGCATGCTGCTACAATTTCTAAAAGTTCATTTGTGTGTCAGTCCTGCTGTGTTTGGAAAACTTTGTTTCCTTGTATTCCTTTATCTACTCTGGCATTTACAATCTTTCCTCTATTTTTGCTGACATAATTTTGTGCCATGATCCCCAAATTTTCTTTACATCAAACAACCAGAGTATATCAAACACTTGTCCCACTCACTATTTCATAAATTAATGCTATATATTTTAGTAAATTTTATTGTGTAGTTTATGCTTGTTTATTTTCTTTTCATACTAGTTTTGGCCCTATTCAATGATTTTTCCATAGTTTATTAACTGAATACTAGATAAAAGGACTAAACCTATGTGTCTTTGTAGCAAGAATATGCATATGTTATTTGTGTTTAAATAGAATGTAAAGAGCTGACCTAGAACATTGATTTAAACACTCTTTTTTAAGAAAGAGTCTTGTCTAGAAATATAAATATTGGGTGAAATTTGAACCTAAGAAATAATAACTGAAATTTCACCTGAGGATTAGAATCTCTGTAATATTTCTTAAAATGAAAATTACAGATTTGTCGACATTTTAAAATAATTATATTGTAATGTGTTTTATGTTTTTTTTCTGAATGGAGTTCAGTCCTCCAATATGTAATTCATATTTGCAGACACCATAGTGTCTGTCTGTTTATTAAACAAGTCATTTATTCTTTCACTTTCTAATATGTCATGAGGCCTTAGAATTGAATGTCTTAATATTTACCAACAGAATACTAGAAAGTATATGTGATATCATTTAATGTTTTGCAGAATTCATAATACTGCATTTTTCTCTCTGTTGCATGTTCATTACATTTTTAGCTCATTTTTTGGCATTTTACACAGTTGGATGTCCTATAAATAGTAAAAGGAAAAAGGAAGTAAGTGCACTTCTCTTTCCCCTTTGAAAGCAGTTTCCATGAGAGAAACTATATTATTTGTTCCTCATCCTTGAAGCAACATTTGGTTCCATTTCCAAGAATCTTTCTTCACTCACATCCAATCCTGTTTTATTTTCTCAAAAATTGTCAATATCAGACACATATTAGTTCCCATCTTGAGTTATAGATGTAGCTACATTACCAGTGACCATCCATAACTCAAGGCCTGAACCAAGGAAAGTAATGTCTACCTTGGCCCAATTCAGATATCTGCATTTTATGTTAGTGCTTTTATTTCATTTCTAGACAGCACTTTTAACTCATTAAAATCAAAGCCATTATCAACTGTAGACTAATACGCAGTGAAAGCAAGGGCCTTGGGTCAAGGTAAAGCCAGCTGTCTTTGCATAGGACACATTTGTGATTAATATTTGCAGATTTACCACTTTTCTGGTTAAATTTCTTATTTTGAGTGTATATAAAATAAGTTATTGAAAAATATAGTTGAAACTCTGTGTTTATACTTGAAATAATAGTGAGACAAATTATTTTAGACTTCTAACCACTTTCAATTTTTCTTATTTTGAACTACTATAAAGTAAATTTTACCATATTTCATACACAAATGTAATTTTAATAGTACTAAAATTGTAGTATATCCTATGTTCATTGGTTCACCAAAAATCTTTCTGAAACTATGAGACTTTGAAGGATTAACACTGCAATATTATGAGGATATAGACAAAATTAGATTATGCTCCAGCATTGAATATTCAATATTTATATACTCATATAAATGGTTTTTATAGCAAAAGAATTTCTGTTATATCTTCAATCTTTTGGAAATAAGTATACTGTACTCATCAAGAGTAAAGATAAAACATAATTTCTGAAGAGATTTGTTAATGCAATCAGTTTCTCTTGATGACAGTTTAGATGACATCGGCAATTTACTTTTGGAGAAGAGATATTCAAGTAAGCTTGTCTGTCTCACTGACTGTTAGACAATATACCATCCTGCATACTCTACAAGAGGAAAGGAAAGTGGTAGACCAGTCAGAAGACCTCAACAGAAGCTGAAAAAGCACCTGGCACTATGATGTTATATTTCTTCAATGAAGGAGTGTAAACTGAACAACATTCTATTATTTACAAATCATTCAGTAATACATAGTTGTAACAATGGAATCTAATGAAGTAAGTTAACTGTAACAATGGAATCTAATGAAGAAAGTTAACTGAGAAGCTGGTTTCTCTCTTCTCTGTTTATCTCCTCTCCCAAAGATACTCCATCCTACCATTAGAATGCATGCTCAACTATGCCCTTAGCAGCTTTATTCATAATAGTGAGAAATTGGAAACAACCCAATTTTTCCCTTACCGAAGGATGAGTATCTAATCTCGTGACTTGAAAAAATGTTTACTCTTATCAAGACCCAGGTTTCCTTACATTATATATTCTAATCTGTGAACTGTTTACGTCTTAAAGAGATAATTGTATTACATGTCTCAGAATAGATTGGTTGACCTAATGATCAGGCTAAAGGCCAACAGAATGCATGATGTCTCAAGGAACTGAAGTTATAGATGATAGGATGTCACAATTTGAGTGCTGAAAATCCAAATTGAGTATTCTGGAAAATCACCAAGTTTCTTTAATAATTGAGGCTTCTCTCCAGCCTGCTCCCTGTTGGCACATATATGGGCTAAAATATAACTAACTTTATACTTGGTAATTTAGTTTGTTTAAATATTATTTTATTTTTTTATTCAGTCAATCAGGAGTAAACCTCTATAGTGGGTCACATTTATGTTAGTTTAATTATTTTATGTGAATTCAGTTACTCTCTTGTAGATATAAAAGAGTTTGAATAGTGGTTTAGGTGTTAGACTTAATATCAGATTAATTGCTGTCCTATGATTAATAAGGTTGAACTTAATATATTTTATATTCCGTAGATTACTAATTGCAGGTCATATCTATCCATTTGGTGCATTCTCCAGCAAAGTAAGTGAAACCGTAGCATTTAAATTTGAAGGATGCTGAGTTTTAAACAAAATCTCTGCGATGAAGGGGAAACTTCCCTTATGCTTTATTCTAATGACTACAATTATTTCAACCATAGTCTCTCATGGTGAATCGCAGAGTGCCAGAATGTGGCAGCAAGATGCAGATCTTTGAATCTACCCTAATTCAGCATGGAAGGTCAAATTGGTAAAGGCAGTTGAAAGCAGAGAGAAATAGTATATCTGAGATGGATATGCAGGGATAAACACTGCAAACAAATACACTTGAAAATTCAGGACTGGGGATTTCTATAATATAGCTCCTTCTCAGTACAGATGGGACTTCCAAAGTAAGTGTAATATTACAGATGTAATTATTTGCTGTTATCGAAAAAGAGGTGTGCAACCAGTACTAAAATAAACCCCTAAGTATTTATTTCAATAGTTAAGATCTTCCAGAAGCAGTCTCCACTTGTTTGGAAAGAACCAGTAAACATAAATGTTTCTTTCTTTAAGGCTATACTACTCCTGCTTTTTCTGGAATATAGTCTAATTATACTATATTTTATGAAGTATTACAGGTTTTGTTAATTTTATACTACTATACTATATTTTATAAAAAAATTCTGGAGTGCAACCAATCTATAAGTGTCAACATTCATTAAGAAACCTGACAGTCCCTCTCCCAATACCTATTATATGTATAGTTCTATATTGAGTATTGGACTTCACATCTATCTCTGTTCTGCAGGGTGGAATTTCATGCTGTTTGTGCATATATAAAACAAATACCAAAACTACCTCTTGAGGGATCTACTTCAAATAAAATCAGTGTCACTTTTAGAGATAATTCTAAGCAGTGTTGTAGGTAAGCAAAGTATGTGTTAAGGAGAAATATTTGGCAAAGTCTATACAGACACAGCACTGAGGATTCCTAATATTTGATACAACATTTCTTTCTTAATAAAATATTGCTAATTTTATTTTGTTTTAAATGATTCCTTCAGTTTTAGTGGAGGTTTTATGTAAATTGAAAGGCTGGAATTTGAGGCATCAAAACATCATTTGTCTTCTCACATTTTGGTCTGAATATTTTCTCAATAACTAAATTATTAATCTGGTTCAGTATCAAACCATTAATAATCAGGAGACGATTGTACATGAGGAAATATTCTCAATCAGGAAATAAAGTACAAAGAAGTTAAATGTTCAGGTGGCTCTGATTTTTAATAATTTTTGTTGATATATTGCTACTTCTCTTAAAACCTCCTACACAGTAGCTTATGAAAAATGGACTAAGGATGTTGTATCATAAATCTTTTGTCAATATGTTGGATTGGATTCATCCATGCAGGGAATCCTACAGCCCTACAGACCCAAGAAGAAGTATATCTTTAAGAGGAATGGGTGTGTGGAATTTATTCAAGTGGGCCAACTACTGCAAAATAAGTCTTTGCTTCAATTTGTCTTGAAAACTAGGTAGAAGGACACATATTACACCTGTATTGTATGTTACAAACTTTAAAAAAAAATGAATAGAGTCAGAATTGAAAAATTCTGCTCATTTCAAAGAAATGAATCAATAGTTCTATGCAAATAAAGGAAAAATAAACATAATAGATGGAGATTAAATAAAAGAGATTAAACATTCTGAGTCCATTTACTGCTGTTAGTAGATGTGTGGGTATAAGGTCATCTGTGGGATAACAAGTAAACTGCTAGGTATCACATTCATGGGGGAAATGGAGTATGTGTCCCCCAGTATCTATCAGTTTTCAGTAGCTCCTCATCCATACATCGAATTCACTGCCTACATTTTTGCACGAATTTGGCTTGATGAGAAGTTCTCAATGGTGCAACCTATGAACCTGGATATTAGCGATATGTTTAGATGAGGGAAACTTATAGTTCTAAACTCAGACCATAGTGAGATAGCCTACTGAATTCACATGTCTATGTGCATATACTTGTAACATATATGAGAGTAAAATCGCAAAGAATGAATGCACTCATTGTTTCCTTGTTTGAATAATAAATAATGTAAAACCATTGTCAGGGTGGATAGTTGGTTTGGAAAAGAGTTTAACCCTCAATCTCATAATTACTTCTTCTTGAATATCCACCATCCATGTAAAATGATAACTTATTTGCCTGTTAGTCCTAGTTCTGAGGAGGAGATGTCATGAGGAGGAAAAGAAGAGAGGATGCCGAAGCCTTCTTAGAACGCAGTCTACTTAACAGGATAATTTGGGGTTCAAAAAGAGAGTTCGTCATGAAAGACTTAAAGTGCAAAGTGTTAAAAAGTAGATAGAAAATTTGAAGATTGGTTGGGAAAGATAGTTAAAAAATATTATTAAAGGTCCTGAAAAATACTCAAAGGTCATATATTTAGAGAGAGGGGGGAGGTAGGAAGGGTTTAAAGAGGAGAGAGAGGATGAAGTAATGTAATTATATTGAAATTGAAAAAAGGAATGCACTTTATTTTTAGATATGTAGAAGTATAGAAATGGAGCTAGGAGAACCCAATGGAAAAAGGGGAGGAAAGACTGTATGAGTCAGAGGAGATGGATGACCCTGGGAGAACATGAACTCCTGGATCAATTAAGCAAATAAAGGCTTCTGTGGGCTCACAGAGACTGAGTGAACAGCAAACACTGACCCAGGTCTTCTGTGGATATGCTATGACTATTAGCTTCGTGTTTTTGTGGGACACCTAACAGTGGGAGCAGATGCGTTTCTGACTCTTTTGCTTGCTGTTGGGACTCTTTTTATCTCTCAGGGTTGCCTTGTCCAGACTGGATCTCAGGGCTTTTTCCTTGTTTTACTGCATCTTGCTTTGTCCTGTTTGCTTGTTGTCTTTTGAAGGCCTGAACTTTTCTAAAAACAATGTGATGGGAATGGATGAGGAGGAGAAGTGATGTTTCGGGGGGGGGGGGCGTCTGGGAGGAGGAGTGAGAGGGGAGACTGTGGTGAAGATGTATGAGAGAAGAATTCATTTGGAATAAACAAAGAAAAGAAATCTTACACTGGCAAATTAAAAAGACCTTTGTAGGAATGAGTAATTTAAAAAGATCTTTAATATCTGGTTTCAGATTATTTCATATGATATTTACTTTCACTCTCAACATCACATAATACACTATGAAAATATTTAATAAAATTTATGAAAAATTAACATGTCTAAACTCAAGTTTTAATACAGGTGAAAAGAAATCCATCAATGAGAAACTGCACCTAATTTTCAAATAAAATTGATAAGTGAAAATTGTAAGTGAAAAATAATTGTTCCCTTCTTACATTGTATTTCTAAATGTTGTTGTTGATTAATTTCTCAATTGTTGCGCTATTCTTTTTGGAAAAATGTTTTCCCTTTAATCTCTGTGCATATCATGCATTTAAAGCCATTAATGATGTAACAATAGTCAAAACTTATTTTTTCATTTATATAATATCCTTAAACTTCAAACATATTGAAAAAATAATGTAAATTTTGGGCTTGACTATATCCTTTCACTTGCAATCCTATTCTGAGTTTCAGTGTGCTGTATAGGAAGCTAATACGCCTCATTATAAGCCAATTTCTATTGTCAAATTGTAAAAATATACTTTTTTAAAAAAATAGCTTTTAATCATATGAGAGCAGCATATTCCTAAAGCAATGCAAATGTCTTTCTGCCTGAAATGAAGATTTGCTCTAAACACAGTTGAATAAATTTCCCTTGTGCTACCATTGGACATTTCCTGGCTGTGAAGCCTGGTAATGATATTTTAATAATTTGTGTTATGTTTGGAATTGTTTCAATCGTGTATCAAATGGGAAGCCTGTGCTTTAGAACGAACACAGCTTTTCCCCTAAAGTCATTTGAATTAATGATGTGCTGTGAGCTGTTTACACAGGTGTCTGTTTTCATAATTTAAATTTTCCAAAGGAGGAAAGCACAGCAATGAAGGCAACATGACAACTTTCATTCGTGTTCTACAGCTGCCTTTCTATCACACTGATGGGCTTTGGGAGTCATTCTTTTATTCCTGACCATCTGCAACACATACATAGGGTCATAAGCAGGTGTTGTGCATCCCCTGAAATAGTTCCTTTCTTGCCAACAATACAGACTCAATAAGTATTAAGAAAAGAAAACCAATAAAGCTTGCCTTTAAACATACTTCATTTTACAACAATAAATTTCTACAAACTTGGAAAATATTCCCTAAGTATGAGTATATTTTCTCTTCAAGGTATTTCAAATGCAATTACGTAAATATTTTTATATCTTGTTTTGTTCTGACAGATGTTACAATAAGGTGCTATGGAGACTGAAAATACAGGACCACACTGATGAATGATAGAAAATCTTACTCTGTCTGAAATTTTCTATTATTTATCACATGGCAACACTTGTGAGTTTCAAGAATCCTGTAAGGCCTGGGGTTTTCCTGCATCGTAGGAAATCTTTGTCTGATTTGAACAGGGATATTGTATCCGGTCTTACACTAAAATGCTCATAGTTTGTTTATTGAATTTAACTCAAGTCATTTAAAATATGTTGTATAATTCTTGTGTTATATGGTCTTATTTTGAAAATAATACAGATATTTATCTAGTATAACTTTTCTTCAGTTTACCTCTAAGTAAAGCTAACTAATTATATAAAAGTATTTAAATAACTTATTGAAATGAAATAAATATTAAGTTTACCAGATCTGACAAAATGCCTCACTTACTTCAGTTTTTGAATCCATATTTTTAGTGTAAAATGACTGAGGTAAATTCTAATTTTATTTTAGTTTTTAAAGATTTTTAAATCAGATTTATTCACTTTATTTTGGATGTCAGTATTTTTTTGTGAATGTACACATGTGCACCACATATGTGCTTTGGGAATATGAAGGTCAGAGCAGAGTATCAATTCTCCTGAAATTGGAATTACAAATAATTGTGAACTACTATGTGGTTGCTGGAAATTAAACCTGGGTCCTCTGCAATACCAGAAATGCTTGTAAATTCTAAGCCATTTTCCTAGCCTTAGTAAATTTTAATTTCCAGCATAGAAAAAAATTCCCTATTATGTTATTATTCTATGTCCAATGTGGACAGATAAATATTTGTTAAAATAAAAAATGGGTCATGAGCTACAGAAAATGTTATAAAAAGGCATTAAGTGAATATTTATATCTCATGTAATATATAACTATAAATGGATTCCATGTAGTCAAAAGTACTTAATTGCCCTCCTAACATTTTATTTCTATACATATGTATATGCATACATGTATAGAAACCTATTTTAACTGATAGATGATGGTATAAGATTTAAATGTGTTGGGTATAAGGTTTAAATATGTTGGGATGACATATAATATTTTGTCACATATACTTATAAAATATTTAAATCAGATCAAATATACCCATTATGATATCTATGATTTACTTTTGGTGTAATCATCCCAAGCACTTCCTTCTACTTTCATAAAATAACACACTTAATAATTGTTATTTGCTACATTATCATTCAAATGACAAATTTCAACTAGGTATTGATAATTTTGAAATTTTTATGTTTCTTTACTTCTAATAGAAATTCAATGTCTGTCAGAAAATAGCAAATTTAACTCAATGTTTCTAGACAGATGTGATATTTTATGTTGAAATTTGCTCTAGGGGTATTATGGCTGGTGAAGGATTGCTCATTGGCAGTATTTTTTCCCATAAAGTTGATCATATTCTCCCTAGGCTGTCCTTTCTCTCTGTTTGACTTTTATAGAAAATGGAAAAAATGTAATAATAATTTTTACCTTGTAGTGGGAAAATAATTTTTGTTTATAGAAGAAACACTGTATTTTCAGTATTGGCAATAGAAAGACATATTGAGAAAGCAATTCAAGTGCCCCGGTGATTCATGCTTCACAGCTCAACCATCCCTTTTTCTTTTTCTGTTTCTTTTACAAGGTGATGCTCTAAAGAATGAGTGAGAAATAAAAGAGTATGATGAAATGTTTTCTTGGAGTTCAGCATTTCACATTCTGCGAGTAGTACATGTCATTATAAGGTGTAAGGCTCACTTCTTAACTGAAGTATGTGTTGACATTGTTTATTTTTTACTATTAGGACCAATGACACAAAGAGGCATGACAAATGATGACATGGGCATATAGCACATTGTACAAATAACCTAAAAATTACATTCAAAGTAACATGTAAAATACAACAACATGTACCTTCCTCACTTATTTCTTTCTCATGCCATCATTACTTTCACTTTGCTGATTTTTTTATGGTGTACAATAATTGAACAACAGGCTCATAGAAAGTATATTCAATTTTGTTTTCACATTTTAAAATGTCCTTTGCTATTTGAAATATTTTTATATAGTAGATCAGTAACATATTTACATTTTGCTTGGAGTTCAATTACTCTTTGTTTTATAATGTCTTTAACTAATTAAGAAAGACATTTTTGCCAGATTTTTTAAGTGAGAACATTGACATTGAAAGGAAAGACATAATTAGAAGCTAGATTCAGCAATTAACCTCAACATTTTTGCTCAGAAAAAGAAACAAATTAGTTCCTTACGAATAATTTCACAATACTTTGAATTGTGAAAATTATAACTCAAAATACACTTATTAGAATTACTGTATATGCCCAATATATCCAAATATTTGTCACTTATTGTTTACAGAAATCTCATTAATTGATTACAGTTTTTAATGTTGCCATTTTCCCTCAATATTGTGTTTAATATAGAAACTGTGATTTTGGAGTAAAGATTTCAAAGAGGTAAGAAATTGAGCTAGGAACATTGCATAGCAACATGTTTGCTTTGTATAAATACAAAGAATCCACTAATGATACCAAAAATCTGTATAAGATTAATAGTCCAAATAGAATGTTCAACTATGGCATGAATTGTTTTGTAATCTACTATATTCTCAGGATTTGGTCTATTATATGTAGGCACTAAAAGTACTTGGTGAGTGATTGAGTACTATTTTTTAAAATGATTACTGGCAAATGTGAGCTATTTTTGTGGGGAGCCAAAGAAACATTG